TATAACCTTTTTCTGGCATTTTGAAAGAAATATTCATCATCAGAGGTCAAATAACTATTATCTCATCTCTTTAAAATTGCTTTTTTTAATTCAATTTACTATTTCTGTTTACTATTTCTTATTGTCTACATCATTGTCAATGTGAAGGTTTAGTTGGTCCTTTCTACCCCACCCACATGTAAACTTTTATAGAGCTTATATAAAAAATGGTTGAATCTAAAAAACAATACTTAAAAATAAAAATACATCTTACAAAACAAATAAATACGTATACCTAAAAATTATATTCAGGTATCATAAACTAAATACAAAAGCTCAAAACCAAAAAAAAATACCAACAAAATAAATACTTTTCGTACGAATACTGATGCATTTTGATGATGGCTGGTTGCCATAGACATTACATTACATGGACTGCTAGTCCTCATATGTTTTTCATTGTATATAGTGCACAAGCATAGAAGGGTATGTGACGTCACATGTCTGAGCGAACATTGCCGACGACAATCGCGGACTCTTCCGATTAAATGTCACATGTCATATGTTACGTAGACCTTGTAATATATAAACCGATTTTAACAGGTGGATTCGATTTTATGTATATTTATTTCACATGGAAAATATTATTATTATCATTTCTTACAAAATTATCAGCCCTCAAAAATGACATTATATTATTGAAATAAAACTATCACAGATAATATTTGAGTTAAATTAACTATTATGATAAATATTATTAAAATTTATTAATATCATTTTTTATAAAATTATCAGCATATTATTAAAATAAAACATGTGACATGACATTTAATCAATCGGAAAAGTTCCGCGATTGTCGTCGGCAATGTTCGCTCAGCAACTGGCGTCACAGTCCCTTCTGTGTTTGAGCACTTATTTTGCTCTCGACTAGCAGTTCATGTAGTATATGGTCTATGCTGGTTACTCTTAATTTACCTTCTACTTTAAAATAGTATTACTAAAACATTCTATGCTTTGCTTATTTTTGAAGTAATGAAGGTGGAACTTTTTACCACCGGACCTTTAAATCGCGCTCTACTCTAGTGAATTTATCTGATTAACACATTTGCAAAATTTGATATTAATTATCAATTTGTTCTGCACTGCATCTCAACAGCAATGTATGAAATCTATATTTACAAATTTCGATTATATAATACTTTCAATCGTTCCCAATTAATAATATTCCCATGCGCTAATAATAACAGTTCTGTGCAATGTAATCATTATAGATATCTTCATCTAATTTTGATTAACTGTATTTACACACAAAAGAGTTTGATTATTAAATTGCTCTTAGCCATTTTATTATAACATCATGTTAGAGTATAAGCAATTATAAGTAAATTAATCTTTAGTTCTACGTTGAGTCAATGAACCCGAACAGTAAAACGTTGGTAAATATGTATTATGGAATCTTGTTTATATTCTATATTAATATATTAATTTTTGAATTTACTACGCCGTCGATTTGTTTTCTATAGAGCATGGATAATGTAATTTGATTTTTTTCTCACCACAGTTAAAATATCAGATTGTAAATGAAACACGTTCAACTGTATTTAGTATGTTTTTATATATAATCCTTATAAAACTTCAAATTGGATGAATTCTTAGGGCTTTCTTGTAAGTTAGTGGTTACAGCTATAGGATTTTAATCAGAAGTTCCAGGTTCGATATCTGTCTCGGACAGCCTGATGTCAAACAATTTGCACTTGCAAATATAGTCTGCAATAAGTTTTCAAATATTATAGAAATTATAATAATAATCTCATCACATACATATACAACCGTTTGGGTTGCCTTTTGAAAAAGGGATGTTGTTAACTAAATGATCGTAACAACTATTAGACTTTTAAGATAGTATAGATTAGTACTTTAAGCTAGTTTGTATCGATTTGTACAGCGATTAGTACAAATAGATACAAACTAGTGGTGTATGGCATCGTGCCTTAAGGCAAATTGCTGGAAATGACCGTACCTTAATGAAATATTTAAGGAATATTAAATCTTTTTAAATAGATTATTATAAATAATGTAACTTTCATTATTTCTAATTGTAAGTATTATATAAACTGAATTGCAAAATTAAAATTATTTATTATTTTATTTGAAATTTAAAATTTTAACTAGAATTAGAATTAAAATTCGATATATTTTTTGATATTAAAAAAAAATTTAAAAAATAATAAAATTATATAAAAAAACTTCTTTTCCCAAAGACAATCGTTTCGTCAACACGTGCAGAAACTTTTTTAAATCATTCACATCTGATGCTTAGTTCTCTCAAAAACTGCCATTTTTGCACATTTTGCTCTATATTTCTGATACGGCTGGACTGCATTTACCAAAATCTAATCACCACTTCTCCCCACCATTACGAATCGAATTGCTTTTTGGATCATTCAAATCCGTTAATCCGTTCTCTTAAAAACTGACATTTTTAACACTTTTTGCTCTATATCTCCGAAACTGCTGGATCTGTCTTTATCTAAACCTAATTAGCTCGTCTCCTTATCATTAGGAATCGAATGTTTCTTGAATCATTGAAATCAGTTAATCCGTACGTCTGAAATCGTCGACGAAAAATTGTCTCCACACATACACACACACATATCCATTTATGCTGAGGTATGCCAAAATATTCAGAACCCTCTGAAATGTGAAGATATGCAAAAAATGTTATTTTCGATTTTTGGCCCAGTGCTTATGAGGTACTATAACCAATACTATAAATTATAAGGTTTCGTTTTTTAACTTATCGTACGGTAAGTTAAAAAATGAAACCTTATAGATTTCCAAATGTTTTTTTTATTTATTTATACATTAATTGTACCTATAACTTCTGGCACAGTCTTTACCTTTACGTAAGGTAAGTTATACCAATCTCAAAAAATCGGACGTAAACATTTTTACATATCTTTACGCTTCAGAGCTTTCCGAACATTGTGGCATACCTTAGCAAAAAATGGATTTATATTGCATGTGTTGCGTATGTTTGGATACAATTTTTCATCCACAATATCGGGAGCACGGATGAACCGATTTGAATGATTCAAAAAGTCCACAAAATTGTTATCTTTTCAGCAAGTAATAGGTAAGACAATAGATAAAGATGTAGATGGTTCTCATTATATTTTGCACCATAAGGCATACATTTTCTACTTTTTACTAGTACCAGGCTGAAAACCAATAGCACGATTGAACATTTGAATAGTTTTAAATAAAATTCAATGGTGATGTCACATAATTTTGATCAATGCCGTGAACATTACGATTATATTTAGCATTTAGTTTAACATTCCCAGCTTATTATACTACTTTAAACCGAACAAAGTATGATTGGTGTCCTTTGTCATTCAATTTAATGCCATTTGTCAAATGACATTTTGAGTGAATTGTTCTTAATCTCTTAATAGTGTACGACCGCACGCTGAGGAAAACAATGAGATTACAGATTAGAAACGTCGATCGTAAAATTATTATTAACTGCTGGCACTATACACATTTGCAGATACAATAATATAGGGTAGAGCGGGGCTTAAAGGCCCCTGGGTAAAAAGGTCCGTCATCGATGTCTCAGAAACAAGTAAAGTTAAGAATTTTTTAACAAGATTATTTGAAAGCGGAGGGAAAAAGATGTATAACCACCCATTACCTTGATTTTTGCGACATCATCAGAAGATAAACAACAATTTTTGAAAATCCATAATAAAAGTATTTTTTCGTTTTTAGTTTTTTGGTTGTGAGTGATTTTTCTGAACATAGTCAGATAGTTGTTTGTTTGATACGTGTTATTTGTTGTGATATACTTGGTTTGGTTTTTACAATATAATTGGGCCCAATTGGGTCTTTGTCTTCTGCCCTACTCTACCAAAATTATGAAAGATATAAATCATAAATTGAATTACGAGGATATCTTAAAATCTTATAAAAGGCTAAATCATCAAACTTTTTTAAAATATGTACTATTTTGCATAATAATGATCAAATTTAAATTGAAAGAATTTAACCAAAAATGACCAAATAATGAAAAATACTAATAAAGAAATATTCGAAAGAGTCTGTAATAAGAACTTGCATCGTGTTTCTCAAAGATTGATAATATTCATTAAGAGCAATTATTTGTTACGAGTTATTGAACTATTTGCTCATATCAGAACGATTAAATATCTAGCGAAAGTTTTACTCGTTACAAACCAGATACGAGCAATTTTTCTGAAACGCCTATTAATCATAAAACAAATAGGAAAGCATAAATGGAAATAGAAATTAAATCATTTATGTAGAAACAATTTTAACATATTTAAACAAATACTTAACATGCAAGTAAATAAATACATATAGGTACTTTATACTATAGTCTTATGATGGAATATTATATGATGATATTGTTTGAATATTTTCAATTTTAATCTGATACTCTTAGTTTCATTTAGTTAAATGTATATATATACATAGAAAGGTTTACCACTGATATCTCTAAAACAAGTATTTTTGAGAACTTTTTAATAACAACATTTGAAAGTAGAAGAAAAAAAATGTATAATCAGCTATCACCTTGATTTTTATGGCTTCGCTATCAGGAGATAAACGGTAATGTTTGAAAATCCAGAATAAAAGTGTATTTTCTTGTTGTTAGTTTTTTTGGACGTGAGCTCTGTCGTTTAGTTTACGAGACCCTAACATAATTTTTAAGTCTAGGTTATTTAATAGACATTATACCTGTTTACTCTTGGCTGTCCTATTTTACCCCGCTCATGAAGTAAAAAGAATCAGGTTACAAATTTTGGAAAACAGCAAAAAACGCATTTCGATGATGAATTTGGTGGTAGTTTTGCTGAACATAGCCAGCTAGTTCTTTGTTTGATATATGTTATTTGTTGTGATATGATTCGTTAACTACAACTATTAAAATCAAGTTATCCTTGTTTCTTTCTGATTTTGTTCTATATCAACTAATAAACTGTTTTTCCTTACAGGGCCCAATAAGCCAGCGACCATAGTTGTTCGAGTGGGCAACAACAGACCAGACCTGGGAACCAACCCTGTTTGCAACCGATTTACAGGTTCTTTAGAAGAAGGTCAACCTCTGTTTTTGCCCTGCAACCCTCCCATGCCAGGAGCATTTGTCAGTGTACATTTAGAAGTGTCCCAGCCCGCGCAACTCAGCATTTGTGAAGCTTTTGTCTATACTGATCAGGTGAGATAATATAATATTAATAATAAATGGTTGTCTGGCCGAAGACAGGTCCATAAATGCTTGATACTCCGGAGACAGATCCATAAATGGTTGTCTGTCCGAAAACAGGCTTATAGTTTGAGAATGCCACAATCAATGGTTTTCTTTACTCCTTGACTATTATTACCATCACCAATCATTCATGTTTCTATACACTTTTATGAAGTTTCTTGTCCAAACTTCTGATTCTATGTTTTCTGCTCCTGTCCAGATATAAAATATATCAAGGATAATCTTATGTGATAAACCTGTTTCTAGGTCATCACTTTATTGTCAAAACTACTGTACTTTATGCGTACGTAGTTATAAAATTTATTAAAACTCTCCTTCGATAATTCAGGTTGTTGGGTTATAATTTAATCCTTGTAGCTGTGGACTGTATTAAACACTGATTAATTTGTATATTATGTATTTGTTGCAGTTCTCATTACAATCACTGATTTGTTACTAAGTTATAATGAAAGAAGATATATTTATTTTTATTGGTTATTTACATGTTGTTAAGCGGACTTTACTTTTAGAAGTGAACAACTAGTTCCCTTAAAACACTCCGCTACCCCCTCTACCTATGGTAGCAACCATTCCGTGTAAATCTAAATGCCCTGAAGTTTGTCACCTTCATGGCCAATATAATAAAACGAAAAGACGTCCGAACAACTACATTAAAATTAAATTTCTACGATTTATTGGATGTATCTACCATACTAAAGTTTTGGTTTAGAGTAACTCACTTCTCAAAAAAGTTATAGACTTTTATGATAAATAGATTTGAATGAATTTTACGTATTTTTTACCGAATAATTTAAGAGGAGGTAAATTTTTTTTAGAAATGTCATGTATATTACAATTTGAGGCAGATTCAATAGAACATCAGATGATATTCGAATATATCAACAGCAACATATTTGAATCTATCTTGATCAAAGTCGATTTTTTTTTATTTATTTTTAGTAAATGTAGATGTGAACAAGTTTTTTAAACAATTATTGAAATCTGTTAAATAAATAAAAACAAATTATCATTATTTATAAAAGCTATTTTTATCACAATGGTCGTTTTGGGGTCACATATTTTCAAGCCAGATAAATATTTTTCTAATCAAGAATTGGAAATTAAGACAAAGCTTCAAAGGAATGTTTATTGATATCATAAGTATAAAACTATAGTGTTAATTATAATCAAACGTTAGAGTAAGAGAAAGTTTTTAGTATTTGTCGATGAAAATGATTAAATAAAGTGAAATAAAATGAATCATAAGCCTTTTACAAGAATTTTAATCCAAAGATTTGAATAGATTAATTTTAAGTTCCATTTTTTGGATAGTGTACCGAATATGTTCAATAATAGTACGTGTAGGATTCTTTAAGATTCCATATCAATGGTAAAAAATAGTTGTATTTGATATAAACAAATTCAATTTTTTTTATTCAAATATACAGAAACAATATTTTCTTTCTTCTAAAACATGAATTGTTAGTGCATAAGCACAAGAAAGCCCACAGACCGCAATAATTTGATATTAATTACTAATATTTATAATATTTTATTTAATTTTAATATATTGTCAATCATTAGTGTAAGGTACATAAAAATCTAAATCCAATTTTTATAGTAATTTTGGATTAAATGAAATAAAACTAAACTCAAATTTTAGTAAATAGATACTTACATTACATTCTTACGGTTCTAGTAAAACTCACGAAAAAATTTCAATTTATTAAAGATATTTTACTACATTTATTATTTATTTTTTCAACAGCAATCAAAACTACTTGGAATTACATTGTTCTATAGGCTGTTAATTTAAGACTTAACCTAACATTTTTACTTGATTTTTTGCAATCGATCAAAGCAATATCAAAAATTAATAAAGTATTTATTACAATATTAAAACAGGGAGTTATCTTTTAAACAGAATGTACAAATTGTAATTGAAGCAATGCACATAAAAATGAAATGCATCTTCTGCACTAATTTTTCGAAGACTAAATGAAATTGCAACATAAAAGTGAGCTATTATTTTAGTAAATATTTGTTTTTAACGCTTTATGAGTTGATTGCAACGTTTACTATGAATTCAAATATTACTATTAATCATACAGCAAATTTTATATAATATGTATTTGATCGTTTTCCTTTTTTCAAGGTACGTCATCAGCTTTTTCTTCTTCCAAGAAACCATATAGTCCATCATCTGTCATCGTTATATAAATGAATTCATACGTAAACAAGTCTATGGATACGTCTTTCTAAAATATTTCCAACGTAAAATATTAGTAATATCGACTTTGGTACAAAACTGGATCGGATGGTTGAGAAGAAAGTTCAATTAAATAGAACTCGTTCTACGATAAGACCCACAACACCGACTAACTCTTGTCTATATATGCTTATTATAAAACATTGGTGGCTAAACTGAGGGTTAAAAGCATTTTGGTGAAAATTTATACAATATCTAATGATAATTGATATTTTTTTGATATTTAGATTTTACTTCGACATTTCTTTATTAGGAAAACTTACTGCAAAATTACTTTAAAATTGAAGGAATTTATTTTTATATATTTTTATTTTATTTGGGGTTGTTTCTAAATGTTTTTATTAGGTATGTTTCACTATTTTTCAGTTTTAATTTTTTCAACTCAGAATATACATGAAGGGTAATCGACATCCAGTAAGACAATCATTTTTTTTTATCATACAGTAATTTTTGCTAGGCTAAACTGAGGGTTAAATGCATTTTGTGAATAATTTATTTAATATTTAATAATAATTAATATTTTTCTGATATTTGGATTTTACTTCGACATATCTCTATTTGTTTGGGAAACTTACTGCAAAATTGCTTTAAATAACTAGAATTTTATTTTCATGTATTTTTATTTTACTTTGGAATGTGTTTTTTATTGGGTATGTTTTACATTTTTCTCAATTTTAATTTTTTCAATTCAAAATTGACTTCAAGACATCTAGTAAGACAATCATTGCATTTTTTTATTATACAGAAATTTTTACATCTGTCCTAAACTAGACAAATAAATTAAACAGATAGGAGGATTTAAAAAAATGACTTTAAAAATACAAAATCTTCTGACCATTGTCAGAGATTTTGAAAATTGATAGATATTAATGTAACTTGAATTTTTAATGATAAAAAAATAATTTAATTTTAATGAATTTTAATAATATTTATTAAGTTCAATAATAATTTTTGAATATCTCAATAACATCGTACTAAGTAAGTACTAATAAGTTACTATATAAAATAAACTATATATAGCTAATTAGAGATAATGAAATTAAGAATAAATAACTAAAAAATATATTAATATTGCATGATTCAAAAAAGCTAAGAGTTTAACCAATTTACATAAAACACTATCTTTTATATTGTTAGAATATTTTGAGATTCAATTGACTTTATCCAATATCCATTCGATTTTAGTCTTATTTTTCAGATTAACTAATGGATTATCAGCATTATTGATTATTTGAATTATTTTAAATTACTTTTCTATTGAATTTTAAATTTTACGAAAATTAACAAAAATTATGAATATTAACTTCTAGACTGCCTGGAATACCTAAGTGCTAATTAGTTTTAAATAATTATGAATAAAATTGAACCAAATTTTATCATAAGTTTGAAAGATTACGGATTTTTATTGCATTCTTAAATAATGTTAATTATTTTAAAATCATATTAAATTTTTTAGTATTCAGCCTCCCCCCCATCCCGGATTAACATAACTAAAAATTACATTCCTATCCCGGATTAACATAACTGAAAATACGTATGGTCTCTCTAGATATGTACGATCTCTAACTATATACATTTTTCTATATTAACTACCCTTGGCATTATTATCTATCCACAGTAATCTTATATAGATCTATATTTTCATCAATTCATATTCATACTAACATTCATACAATACAATAGAGCCATCTAATATAACTATCTAATATAACCATCCGTGATTATTGCCACGTTTATTTATCATAGCTAAATTTAAAAAAAATCTAGATTCATCAATTTAAATCCTGAATATAAAAGAATAATTTTCGAATAAGATTGGGTTAAAAGACTATAGTTTTTTTCCCTTTTGTTTTTAGTTTTTTGACCCCACGCCACTGGAGGTATCTACTAATTTGTAATCAACTTAATGCTACCATATATTCGTCAAAATATGCAGATTGCAGAATAAAATTGAATAAAAAAAGATTGGATTATTTAAGTATTTCCAAAATATATTGCATTTTTTTTATAATTACTAGTGGTTTCGATTCAAAGGTAAGATCTACTGACCAGGACTTGAGTTATTGTTCCAGCAATTTAAGGCGCTATGCCCAAACCCACTAGTTAAAAAAATATTTGATATGCAATCCTAGCCTGGTGTTTTCCCATCCGGCCCGCAGATCTCGATATCTTTACACCTCATATGATGCCGTTTGCAATAGATAACATTCTTGTCGAGTCAGTGAAACCTCCGCAGCGAAGAGTTGCAAGAAATACCAGAAAAAAACTAATTCGATATTGCTTCCAGTGAAAGCACTCACGTCGAAAACTTTGTAACTTAATGATTTTGTGGTCTTTTTGGAAATTAATATTTATTTAATTAAATACCATATGATAAACTGTACGTTTTTATTATTCTTAATATATTTCCTGCTTCGAACATGTTTTTTTAGCCGCAGAAATGAAATTGGAATATTTATTTTACTTTGAATTTTATATATATATATATATATATTATATATATATATATATATATATATATATATACAGTGGCGTCGGAACCGTGTGGGCTGGGTGGGCTTGAGCCCTCATCTCAATCCCAAAATATGATACTGTCTCAACGGTCTAAAAAAAAAAACAAGCCCACACAGGCCCGCGAGCCCACCCATCAAAAATTTGCTTCCGACGCCACTGTAAATATATATAATATATATATATATATATATATATATATATATATCAGATTGTCAAATATCTCCCTTCCGCCTTTTTGTATTAAACCAAGAGCAAAAAAGCGGAAGGGAGATATTTGACAACCTAAGATTGTCAAATATCTCCCTTCCGCCTTTTTGTATTATAAACCAAGAGCAAAAAAGCGGAAGGGAGATATTTGACAACCTAATATATGGTAACCCAAACGGTTGTTCTATCTCTATGATAAAATTATTATTACAATTGTGATCGAGAAATTTAGGGTAATGTCTATTATCCCTTAGAAACATATCACTACGTATATCTCCAAGTAAATATTAATCTAACTCCTGCTTGACATCAGGCTATCCGAGGCGAAATCAAACCTTGGACCTCTGCTTTTATGTTCATAGCTCGAACGACTAGACACGAGATTTTTCTTATCTCAAAAATGAATCAATTACAGTATTTCTGAAAATTTAAATTATTTCAAATTTTCAAGATGCAATGGTGCCCCAAATGACTGATCATTACTATCAGAAGGCCAACTCGCACGTCTTATGAAATATTATCCCTAGGCCATAGATTTTATCACTGCAGCAAGTAAATTTAGCAATAGCACATTTGCTCAATGTTTTTTGATCGTTCAGATATTGCAGTCGATTTGAACCTAAAAAAGTCAAAATGAATGTTATCAAAACAAATAAACAAAACCGGATGCGTATGCATTGCGCTTCAATGCCTTTCAGTGTTGTAACTGTAGTTTTTTGATACATATACCTACTAAAATGAAGGTCGGACGATTTCCTTCAGAATTTTTTAAAATAATGCAAAAAATACGGTTTAGCATGACGTACTTTTATAAAGGAATGTTGTAATATGCTGTAGCATCATTTGTAGATTTCTAATATATATGCCGAAATAATTCAAATTTTCAGAAATACTGAAATTGATACATTTTTAGATAAGAAAAATCTTGCACTTTGTATCTAGTGGTTAGAACTATCAACATAAAACCAGAGGTCCAAGATTTGATTTCGCCTCGGATAGCCTAATGCCTAGTATTTACTTGGAAATATACGTATTATTATGTTTCTAAGGGAAAATAGCCATTACCCTAAATTTCTCGAACAAAATTGTAATAATAATTTTATCATATAGAGATAAGACAACCATTTGGGTTACCATATATAAAATCCACGTCAAGATGTCAGCACAACAGCTTATAGGACGAATTATTCAAGTCTTGATTGCTGTTAAAATATATAAACTAGCTGTAAGCAGCATTTTGCCTTATGGCAAATTGCATGAACTTTCCGAGACGTGTAAATAATCGACTTTATCAACAAGAATTAGAATAAGCTATGTAAATAAAATGTTTATTTAGAAAATAAAGTGTAAGTGACTTGAATTCAAATCACCAAGGATATTTAATAATAATCAAAGTAAAATTATTAAAATTAATTTGCCATTTGAAATTTTTGGTCAAAAGCGTAAAATTCTAATTTGGAATGTTACAACTAATAATTTGTATTAAAATCTATACTGCAGGAAAGGGGAATAATAAAATGAATAAGAACGATTTTTTGGTAAATTTTTTAATCTTGTTTTCAAGGTTTTATCAGATTTTGGTTTAGTATATTAAAAGAAAAATAAAAAATAACGATGTTAACTGTGTTTGTGAGTTATGAGACAAAAATAAACTATGAAGATACCTGCAAATACGATAAATTATTCAAAATTCTACCGAATCAGAGCACACGTTAAGGTGGTAATAAAGTAAAAATATATACAGGGTGTCCCAGAACATAACGTCAAGAAACGGGATGATAGTATTGGTCTTAAATGTTATGAAAAAAATTAGAAAAAAATATAATACGTTTGGAATTTATGATATTTTAAGTGCCAAGAGCTTTGGAGAAATCATGATCATTTTTGGTTATTGTGGTTGATTTTTATTAATTTTGTTTATTTAAACTTTGGTACCGCAACCATGAATAACATTTCCAGGAATATGGTAAAAATATATCACAATTGCTCCAAGTTTTCAAGAATTAATACTTTTTGTTGATTATGAATTATTTTTTTTTTAAATCGTTCGACTTGTTAAATGGTAGAATATTTGATAATTTTATTATTGAATCATTTCCAGTGAATTAATGAAAACCTAAAAATGCAAAATGTTAAACTACAATTGTCACTCGTGTAGTAGTTTGTAATCAAAATGATAATTACAGCAAAGTAAATTATAGCAATAATTAGATTTCAAAACTCTTACTTATTATATTTTTAAATTAAATTCGAGTATAAGAAATATCTCTGTTTTTTACTTTATAATTAGATTAAACCAACATAGATCTTGATGACATGTAATTTAAAATTTCTTTATTCTTTTTTCTCTATTAAAGTAACTAAAATGATTTGTTAAAGCGGAACATAAAAAATAATTGTAAACGACTAAAAATGATGTTGCGCAATTGGCGATAAACACTCTCACTTTTTTACACTACGTGTTAATTGGCGATTGTTTGATTAATTAAAGAAATTAATTTATTCAAATGCGTAAATCGTAGACAGAGAGCTGGTAAGTGAAGGTGGGCAAATTATTGGAAGAAGAATAATTACTATTTTTAATAACATATTTCAATAGTATCACAATAGATGGCATTGAAAGGTGTTAACTTAAAATAGCTATTATTTTTCTATTATAATGGAACATATATATTAAGGTAATCCTTAATATGGACATTTTCGAATTTCTTTGCTCCCAAGGGCTAAAATGGTTCCAAATTGATAAAAAAAATTCTCTGAAAGTTTTATCCCTTAATATTAACTTTTAGATAGTGCGCAATTCAATCAAACTTTCTATAGAAATAGCATGGAAAAAAATTGAAAATTAAAAAAAAAAATTTAGGTATAACTTAGCGACAAATTTTGAATAAACTCATTCATTTGTTCGCTAAATTATATCTAAAAACATTTTTAAATTTTTTGAAATTCTTTTCATGTTATTTCCATACAAAACATTGATTGGAACCAAGCCCCACAGATTGGTAATCGCTATCATTATTAACCCTTTTCACTTGGATGCCACCGCTCCGGCGGCAAAATACATATAAATCTCGCAATTCGCTAGTGGAAATTATGTTTAAAATTTAAAATATTGCATAATTTTTTTTTAATAATTTTTTAATAATTATTATATAATATATATATATATAATATATTATATAATAAATATATTATATAATATATATAATATTATATAATAATTATTCAAATAATTTTTAATAATTTATTATTATACTCAGCTCCCTGTTTTTAATTCTTCCAGCCAATTATATAAACAAAGAAAACGACGGATTATGCAAACAGTTTTGTCATTCACTACTTCCTTATATTTTTTCAAATTCCGGATATGGTTTCATACTAATAGCTTTTTTAATATAAATTATTAATTTACTGCTTTTTTGTGTACCAGACGATAGACTATAATAGATGATATCTCTTTTAATTTTGTAAGATATTCAGTACTTTGATGATGATATGATTAAGGATAAGAAACTAGTATTGTACAATTAATGGCTGAAATGCTATAATGTCTTTGTAAACTCAAAAAGGTAAAATTCCTCTTTTTCCAGGCAGTCCTGTATGACTGAGATAAGAAAATAATGTCAGTAACAAAAAATATAGGACAAATTAGGAAAAAAATTCATAAGATGCCAGTTCAATTTCCTAATGTAATATCATCTCATAGATTTGTATGTTTACAACTTTACTATATATCTAGATTTATTTCTATCTAATTCATAAAGATTTGGCTGTATCAAGTTTACAAACATTAATCAACATCTTACGATGTTCAATATTCTTCCAACTCGAACTCAAAACTTTGAATTACAAAATCTTCTTCAAATATCAGAACTATAATTGTGTTCAATATTCTCCCAACTCGAACTCGAAACTTTGACTTACAAAATCTTCTTCAAATATCAGAAGTATAATTGTGTTCAATATTCTTCCAACTCGAACTCGCAACTTTGACTTACAAAATCTTCTTCAAATATCAGAAGTAAAATTGTGTCTATTATTTATTTAACTCTATTACAATTATTTCTTCCAGGCTTTACCAATTGAAAGATGTCCCCAATTCAGAGACCAGCCACCTGGCTCCACAGCAACATACAATGGCAAATGTTATTCCTTCTATTCTCGACAACCTCTGGCCTTCCGTGAAGCTCTGGCATTCTGCAGATCCCGTGGAGGAACTTTGGTAGATGAAAGTAATCCAGCTCTTCAAGGATTTGTCAGCTGGGAATTGTGGAGAAGACACAGGTAGATAAACTTAGCTTCTGGTAACTAGATATTAACTATTTATTATAACTGGAGTAAATAACTTATATGTTGAGGTTGTTTAGAGAAGTGGCTGCTTACATCTTGACCAATGTCATTATTGGTTGACAGTTTGTGACAATTGATTTGTTGAAACTTATTTTATCAATATGAATTAAAATTTTAAACGTGATAATTAACTTTTATTCCAAATTTTTTTCATTTTTTTATCTTGTTTAGGAGCGACTCAAGTTCTCAATACTGGATGGGAGCAGTACGTGATCAGACAGATAGAGCTAACTGGAAATGGTTGTCAGGAGCTGATGTTACTGTTTCCTTCTGGAATCTTCCTACAGGAGAACAAGATTGTGCACGATTTGATGGCAGCAAAGGATGGCTTTGGTCAGATACTGATTGCGATGTTCCATTGAACTATATATGCCAACATCGTAAGTAGAAGAATGTCATATTATTACGTTTTGGTTTTTGCTATCTACATATATATAAAAATAAGTCGGGTTTTCCTTCCTGACGATATAACTCCAGAACGCACAAACCGATTTCGACAATTTTGCATTCGTTGGAAAGGTCTCGGGCTCCGCAAGGTTTATAGCTAAGAAAATTAGTTGTGCATGGCCTTATCGTGCCTTAATGCAAGCTGCTCGAACTTTACGCACCGTAATTAAAAATTCGAGTAATGACATTAGTGAGAATTGTCAGAATTATGCTTGGTTAAGTCAACTAGCAATTCTTGCCGCAAAGAATAATGATGTACACGCACTGAATTTCACCATTCAATCAAAAATTGCTGGCGATTTGGTGACATACCAATGATTCCGACTTGTCTTCCGTTTGACTTCAAACGATTGCAATTTCCAGTTCGCCTTGCGTTCGCAATAATAAGTCGCAAGGCCAATCGCTGGGATAATTTCAAATAGATTATTTAGAATATCATTGTTTTTCACATGGGCAGTTATACGTTGCCTGTTCACGAGTTGGAAAACCATCCGCTTTGTTTGTGTTAACGTCTGACCAAAAAACAAAAAAGTGGTTTACCAATGAGCACATCAATGAAACGGATAATTTGCGGATTCACTTTCATTTACTTACAAGGTAACCATCAGGTTTACTCTTCTGGGATTTTATTGAAACTTTGCATGGTTGTAGGGTTGATGGTCAAACCGAACACCTTTAAATATTAGAGTCCTATGGGAAGCGGTTTAATTAAAAAAATTAAATAAAAATTGATTAAAACTGCTAAAAACACGCTAAGCTGTATGTCTACGCGCGTTGCGCTTTGTATCAATGTGTCGAGATAGTCGAGTGGTTTGCGGCGCTTACTATCAACTTTTTGTTCGAGGCCTAGGCTCACAGTCGCCAGTTCGAATCCCGCCAGAATATTTTTTTTTATTTATTTTTACATCTATTTGGTTAAATATTATAATAATTATTATTAATTTGTTACATGTACTACACAAATATGTGAAATTGATAAATAGTAGATATTTATGAAAGCATTCTGAAAATAAATACATTTGCATTGCAAATTGATAAAATAAAATAAAATATTTTTTTTTATAAATGATATGTATTTAAACTAATATAATATCAACCATAAATAAATAATAATATAAAATAAAAACTTCAGGGCTTACAATTTGCTGCTGTAACACAGCAGCATTTTTAAAGTGTGCTCACTGCAATATATTTTTATGTTTTTCATGCTTTTATGATAAATATCATCTAGCAAATTGCAAGCCCTGAAATTTTTATTTTATATTATTATTTATTTATGTTTGATATTATATTAGTTTAAATACATATCATTTATAAATAAATCTAGCAAATTGCAAGCCCTGAAATTTTTATTTTATATTATTATTTATTTATGTTTGATATTATATTAGTTTAAATACATATCATTTATAAAAAAAAATATTTTATTTTATTTTATCAATTTGCAATGCAAATGTATTTATTTTCAGAATGCTTTCATAAATATCTACTATTTATAAATTTCACATATTTGTGTAGTACATGTAACAAATTAATAATAATTATTATAATATTTAACCAAATAGATGTACAAATAAATAAAAAAAAAATATTCTGGCGGGATTCGAACTGGCGACTGTGAGCTTAGGCCTCGAACAAAAAGTTGATAGTAAGCGCCGCAAACCACTCGGCTATCTCGACACATTGATACAAAGCGCAACGCGCGTAGACATACAGCTTAGCGCGTTTTTAGCAGTTTTAATCAATTTTTATTTAATTTTTTTAATTAAACCGCTTCCCATAGGACTCTAATATTTAAAGGTGTTCGGTTTGACCATCAACTCTACAACTATGCGAAGTTTCATCAAAATCCCAGAAGAGTAAACCTGATGGTTACCTTGTTAGAGAAGTTCAACTAAAAAACACTTCATTTTTGCAATCGAAATAAATTCATTACTGTTGTATAATAAAATCACATTTTTCCTTTTGAATATTAAACAAACAAAAAATTCCTCCATCTTTCTCACGAAACCATCTGGTGGCGAAACGGAGTTCGTCGGGTTTGCTAGTCTTCTATAAACATCTGCAATTTTGTATTATAGTTCTCTTTTTTGAACTTATTATTTATGATATTTTTACTTTACAGAACCGAAAGCTTGTGGCAGACCAGAACAACCACCCAATTCAACCATGATTTCTGATAGAGGTTTTGCAGTAGGAGCTTCTGTTAGTTACGCATGTGACGAAGGACATCTTCTTGTTGGACCCAGTGAAAGAACTTGCTTGGAGACTGGATTCTATGATGAATTCCCACCTGTCTGCAAAAGTAAATAATTCTAAATATTGATTTTCATTGCTATTTTTAAAGATCTGAAGATTATGGAATAGCATGTAGAAAACGAATGTTTATGAATCGTTTCTAAAATATTATATTATTACCAGGTATACAATGTGGTTACCCAGCAGAAATTCGCAGAGGAAGTTATTCACTTCTGAATGATAGCGTAGGTTACTTGAGTGAAGTTTTATATACTTGCGAACCAGGATCAAGAATGATAGGACGCGCCAGGCTCACTTGTGATCTGGACGAGAGATGGAATGGTCCACCACCAAGGTAAATAAATCGATATTGTCTCTAGCAATATAGTTTATTAGAGACTTATATCAGGCACTTAGATGCCAAAATTTGAGTGCCTTAGTGAAACAAATCTATAATAAATATTTTTTCCAAATTAGGTGTGAACCTACTCAATGCGAATTGTTGCCATTGGTATCACATGCAATTGCTGAAGGAACAGGACGAAATGTTGGAGATCTTGTTGCATACTCATGTCACCGAGGATACACTTTAACCGGAGCTCCAGTTTTGACGTGTCTGAATAATGGATTATGGGATAGACCAGTTCCTGAATGTATAGGTAGTGTAACTGATCCTTCAATGTTGCAAATTTAAAAATACTTTTCGATCAAAATTATTGCCAGTTTGTCAATTATTTAATTTTTAATTTGTATTGCAGAGGAATTAGTAATACCAGATTCTCCAATTCCTGCTGTCACACCATACAAACCACATCCTCCAAGACAAACCACTCCAACAATTACGACAGGTATTAAATTAAGATTTCATTTTTAGAATACAGTTTTTGATTGATTATGAATTAACTGTTCTTTATGAACTTTCAATTCTACTATGCAATAGAGTTATGAAGCTAATTCTTCAATATCTACATTCCAAAAAAATTTAAGATGAACTCAGTCAGTATTTGGTTTAGTGATTAATTGAAGAAGAAACGTATTTAACAGTCTATCTGAATTATCAAAGCTATCTGTTCCAAAAATTTAATTATTTTATTATAATTTTTAGGACATAGCAGCAGTACTACTCCAGCCAGACCAAAGCCTACCAGGCCGCGGCCATTCTCCATAAGTCCATCCACGACTACAGTCAGAGGTCAAGACAGTCAAGAAAGGACACCAGTTATCTCAGGCAATCAGCCAACACAAGATATAATCAGAAGCAATAATAATAATAATAGGCAGTACACCAATCCGCCAGTTCGAAAACCACAGAGTCCTTTGACAGTTGCTCCCAGCAATGTTCTAGTTGTGGCCAGGCCTCTGGATCATGAAGACACACCCGTACCAGGACCTGATAGGCTTCCGGCAAATAATAGGTGAAATAATCAGCTTAAGATTTTTTTTTAATAATAGAATAATTTATTAATAGAATAATTGATATAACCATAGCTTAAGATTGATTTCAAAATACCTTTCGATTTAGAGAGGTAATTTTTATTTAAATTAATTCTTACTAATAAAAATGTTTATTTCTTAGATCTGAAGGTCCATTAGGAGCTCGTCTGAATCTTGGAGCAATTGTAGCTCTTGGAGCATTCGGTGGCTTTGTTCTTTTAGCTGCAATTGTAACTACAGTAGTAATGCTTGTCAGAAGGTAAGTTTTTAATATAAATATTTAAAATAAAAGCAATTGAAATACTTTCTTGTAAAAAAACTATTGCAAAAGTTCCAATCTGCTAAGTAAATCTACTTCTCTTATATGAACAGCCTTATTGCTTATTTCATTTGCTTTTAGTTTCTGCTGTAATGTTTATAAACATATTTTGGGGATTCTTAGTGTGAAGACAGGTACAACGTGATGGTTTCTGGCATGACAAAATATTTGGGATTTTACATTTAAATATTTTCCTAAAATGCTTTCTTAAAGATCTTACACAATTGAGTTTTTTTATTCAAATCTTAATTTAAACTTTAAACATATTAAAATAATCTTTAAATGTTTAATCTCAAATATTTAATTGTAAATATGTATATTTTTTGTTTGCTGGTATTTCAAACATAGATTTTTGTTCATTTTATGTGTTATTACAAACATGTTTTTGTTTCCACAATTACACAGTCCCACACTCATCACAAATTTCTTGTCTTCACAGCTAAATATCACCGTTATATTTTTTGTCAAAGATGTTAAAATGTATCTTTGATATCATTTTGGTATTTTTGTCACATGTTTAATAAATGAATATTGAGACTTAGAATATAAATTTTAATTTATTAGTTCTTAGTGATTCATTAAAACATTAAACATGTGACAAAGATCTAAGAATGCATGTGTGTGTGCATAAAACTGTTATATGGTTGTATATTTGCTATAAATCTTTACCCTGTACTCCAACTTCCTTCTCCAAATGTGAAATGCACTTTAAAACGTATATTCTTTTTCATTTTTTGGATTTTTGGAATATAGTCTCTACTTTCGAAATTTTGCCACCATATGGTCGCGGATCGCATGTCGGAAATGTATATTTTTTTATTAAATGTGTATATTTGCACATGTTTTGTATACAAAATCTTTCCGAACCAATTCTCAAATATAGGACCATAGGATCGTCATTAATGGGAAACATCCATATTTTTTCATTTGAGTTGTCCCTACACTTTTTTTTATTATGATACAATATTATTTACACATGTCCTGAAAGGACAACAAGTAATGTTTTAGGAAATAAAATCGGCTTTAAAAATAAGAAAGTATCAAACCATTGTCAGAGATTGTTGAAGTAATATTTTTGAAATAACAAATATTTAAAATTCTATTATAAACTATTATATTTATATCTTACTAATTATATTTAATCTATACTAATTAATTTTGTTTTATTAGAAAATTGACGTAAGTACTAATATATACAATCTTGAGTTAGCATAAATCGTTGAGTTGTTTTTTTAATTATAAAGTTAATAAACGTAAAATGAGTTGAATACAAACTTGACTTGATTTGGATTAGGAACAAATTAGATGTTGGTTTCCCATTATGGTGATTTAACTATAAATAGAATAAATGTTTGTTGTAGTTCGTTATCAATTAAGCATTTTTATATTGTAGGATATTTGTCATATTTTTTTAATTTAGATGTAAAGTCACTTTCATGGACTCATTTTCCTAATTTATATATTTTTTTCAAATGTTTTATTTAATTTTACCTTTATTAATTATAAAAAATAAATCAAACCTTATGTATATAACTCTATAAATCAAAAATATAAAAACATAAACTTCTCTTTCGGGAAGTCAAAAATAATTTTTATTTAAATATATTATTTTGATATAAAATTTATTCAAATCTTCTTTCATTTTTGAAAAAATCCGTTCCCACAACTATTCCAACATTAATTTTTACAATACCAATTTTTTCCACAAAAGCTCGCCATCAAGAAATCGTAATTCTAAACATGGTCTTCCTTCGCCGATGTCATTCCGTCGCGATCTCGGAAGCAAATATTTTGCAGGAGAAAACAATTCTTCACATTTTTCCCAACAATCGCCACGTTGGTACACTTTACTGGCGCTACCATTTCCTGATCAGCAGATCGGAAGGAGAGACTTGGCACCAGCCAGGCCAAACAAAAGGCACCAGCGGGCTGGTTACTTCTCGAATCCAATGTGACTAGGAGAAGATTTTAGGAGAAGGAATGGAGAAATAAGTTGAAAAACGATATTAATAAATATTGGGGAATTGTTAGATGAAACAAATTGGATGCCAAAAATTGAGAAATCCAAAGAAATTTTAATTAAAATATTACAAAACTTAAACCAAAGAAAACCAATTTGACAAATGGAAATTTGATTATGGAAATATTTAGAGAAATAGATTAAAATAATAGAATTAGACAAATAGAAATTAGACATCATTTACACGATTCCAAACTAGACAATACTAAAACAAAAAATAGAGAAAATTGGTCATATCAAAATGGTATATATTTGCAAATGTGCAATAAAACTATAAGAAACAAAGAAAAACCACTAACTTCAAGAGATCTTATATAATATTACTAAATAAAGTTAATTTGAATATTAACAGGAAATACTAAAAAATAACCGAATAAAATATTAGATGTGCAATATTTTCGACTGACATATTAACGAAAATCCCAATAAAAAAATTAGAAAAAGCCAAAGAGCGAGGAATAAAAATGTGCCATAAAGCAGCATTTGTAAATTCAAGATTGTATAGTAAGTAATATTAGAAATAATTTTTATTTTAAGGTTGATTGAGAGTGTGAATTTGAGAGAAAAAATACCAAAATGATATTTTAATATTTAGTTTCTTAAGATATATTTTAACATATTATTTTATAGTAATATTTATAAAAAAGTAGACAAATATATATCTCATTTGATTCTACGACTTTTTTCAAATATCACACTGAATACAACTTTCATATGGAACTTTATCAGAAAAAAATTATCATCAGTGTTGAAATAACTGTTAATTTAATTTATCTTTTGTAAAATTGATTTTTCTAACTTATTTTACATTTTTATTTACTAGTTTTTTGTTGTTTTTATTGTACAACTATATATTTTACTGGACGTAGTTCTTAGAATATTTTGATTTTGAACTTTAGAAATTATTATCTTTTTTATTGTTTACATATCGCCAGTATAAAAGTTTTGGTAGTCTTTTTTACCCCAACTACATTTAAGTTGCTCTAGGGGTTATATAAAAAAATTGTTTAATATAACTTAAAAATAACAATACATTTTATAAACACTTAAAAATTATATTCAGGTATTATAAACAAAACAACAGTGCTCGAAGCAAACAAAAACTAGTTGGTATTGGTATTTTGCCTTGAGGCAAGTTACATGAACTTTCCGATATGTGTAAATAATCGACTTAATAAACATTAAATTCATTAATAGTGATTAAAAGTATTCCGAGTGGATTTATTATTACATAATTGAAAACGAACGAGCACGTTAACTCGGAGTATTTTCTAAAAGTAAATTTTCAAATATCAATCATTTTTATAATTGAACCAGTTTCCGTAGGACTTTAATGGTTTAGTATGTTCATTAAGACCAAGTACTCTATCGTTATACCAAGTAAATCGTCTAATTTTAATTTTAACAAACGTCAAAAAAACTACTCATTTCCACAAACTTTGATGAATTTTTAAAATTAAACTACTTTTTGTAAGGCCGTAATATTTCAGTGAGTTCTATAAGACCAAGGTGTATATCGCCAAAAACAGTTCCATAAAAATCGGCTTACATTTTTTTAATAGTTAATTACAAGAAAACGGCTCGGTAGATTTTCACTTAAAACTAATCAGTATTATTTCCAACTAATATTTTTTAAGCAGTTTTTAATTTTTTAAAATCGATTCGGTAGTATGAGATTAAATGTGAACGAAAAATTTAACACTTTATTTTCAAATTGCAAATGATAGTCCTCATCGAGATACATCGAATAGCTTTTAAATTTTTGAAATCGGTCCGGCCGTTTTTGAGAAAACGTCGATTTACGGCAAAAAATCTGTTCACACACACACACACACAACTTTTTCCAAATTTGGTCTCATTTGATTCAGAATGACTTGAAACGTGGAGAAAATACAAAATCAGCAAATCGGATTTTTTGATGAAAACAAACTTCTCCTTCGGAAAGTTAACAAGCACTAATTAAAATTAAAAGAATCTAAGAAGCAGGCAGATCTAAATAGAATTCCCCAATGAGCACTTATGTCCAGTTAACAAATTTATAATTATTTGCATGTTACTTCATTCATTATTATTTCCTTAAAAGTTTTTCTTCAATTTATTATTATTTTTCCACAGGAACCACAGTGCCAAACACTATAGACACCGCGCGTCGCCCGACTGTAATACTGTCGCCTCATTCGACTCGTCCAGTTCCGAATCCAGGAACGGCCTGAATCGATACTATCGGCAAGCCTGGGAGAACCTGCACGAATCTGCCGGTTCCAAAACGGGATTGAAAATCCAGGACCGTACCGCCGCTGCTGGCGTCGGGGGCATCCATTCGCCATTGAGGAGGAAGGAGACCATGGACGAACCAGACGGTGGAAACGGATTTATGCACAGGAATGGAGGTAAATGATAAGTCATCTTGATAAAAAATATACTGTCAATATGTTAGTAGACATTACTATATTCAAATTTGAACTGAAATAAAAAATTCTCAAAAAATAAAAAATAAAGTAGGCATCACTAATTCACCTTGAGAATTTTTGAGGTACTCAGGCATAGCCAGAAGCTATAATATCAGACTGACTTACCATCTTTAATAAACAGTTAATTATTTATAAAGAGAAATTTTGTTAAAGTTTGGCAAAATTTACAAAATTACGCATTTTTTCGAAAATTTGTGACCAAGATGATTAATATTTTTTATCAGAAATGAGGTACTCTCATTTCTCAAACAGAAGTGTAAAAACAGATTGAGTGGACATCCATCCATTGAACGACCACCAAGTAAACTATTTGATAAAATTTATAACAGAAGAATAAAATTGCCAATAAGTTAACATCCGTTTTATCCTTAGCTGATTTTAGTATTTCAGCAGCAGAGTTTCTTAAACTTTTGTCCTTCGGGACCCCATTTACAGTTGCGAGTTTCTTGCCGAACCCATTTATGACTGCGAGTTTCTGGACGACCCCACAGATTTAAAAAAATAAATCAATATTTTCAAATAATTTATATATTTGGTAACAGTATATATGTACATATACATATGAAACTACATAGTTTGTGAATTTTTTGAGAACATACAAAAATCAAGACGTGATGTTATAAAACAATATAAATATTTGACATTAAATCACTCGCGACCCCAGAATTTTTTCCTGCGACCCATAGTTTGAGAAGCCCAGCTGTAAAGAGATCAAATTTGAAGAGCTGCATCACTGAACGTAATTCCTTAGAATATTTTGCTTGACTATTGATATAATATCTTGTGTAGTTAGGTTTTCAAGCTAATACAAAAGTTGGTATGCATTTACTACCAATTTTTCACATACCTTGGGGGGCCAATTCTGCCTTAAAATAGACTAATGTTATGGCAAGGCTATGTTATGGTAGCAGTTTTCATATAAAGTGGTACTAAAAACTGTCAAAATCCTATGCAGTCGTTGTACAGTCAGGCGTTTTAGATAGAAAACCTAAACTAGAAATCGCACAGATGTAAAAAAACAATATCATCATAACTGGATTTTTGAGATATGACTTGATAACATATGGATGAAGTTGCATTTTATGTGTAAAATGCCTGATCGCGCAGCAAATACATGGCATTTTGACAGAATTTAGTAGCATTTTGTATGAAAAATGGAACGTGTCATAGCCTTGCCATAACATTGGACTACTGTACGGCAAAACTAAAAGTATAAAGAAACATCATTTCAAATAATTTGCTATTATAAGTCCTGAAAACTCCAACCTCTAATCAAACTCCGCCAAAGGGCACGTCTATTAATCACGTGAGGTTTTTTGGGGGAGGGGGGATTTGACAAATAATTACGCAAAATCACGTGGGGGGGAGTATAGTAAGACATCACGTGTATTTATTTTTACCTAAAAAAATAGTTCGAAAAAGTTTATATAACTAAAAATACACGTGATGTTTGGCGGGGGAGGCGTATCAAAGGAGAGGGTATCACCAAAGTCTAAAAACCCCTAAAAGATCGATCACGTGATTAATGGATGCCTCCAAAGTCCTGAAACCTTCAGGTTTTAACAAGTTATTAACTCAGTCTTTTCTATTTTCTCAGCTGGCATGCAGGAGAAGAAACGACACCACCATCATCACCATCACCATTCATCATCAGCCAATGGATTTAGGCAGGAGCCCCATATTGTGGCCAACAGTAGACGCGAGCACCGAGAACATTCTCACAAGAGATATTGACAACAATCGGATCGACCAAGAATGTATTTCAGAATTACGCTTGAACAATGAAAAATCATTTTTGATACTTGCATTAGGAAGAATTGGAGAAATTGAGAACTGAACTCGTAAGGATTCTTTAAATCATTAACCAAAAATATTATTGAATTTGTTTTAAAATTGTGGATTTTGTGTTATGAATATGATCGGAATGGCCGAATGATCGGAAAAAATTAAATTGTGGAAAATCAATATGAAGTACCTCCCATTTACTGGAACTTTATTTACAGAATAATAATAATGACGCAGAAACATTTTTTTTTTTTTTTGGGGTAATGGGTCTTCAATAGGATTGATTTGAGAGTCTCAAATGAAGATGAAAAAATATCAGAAGATTTATTGATTCTTCAACTTGATTTTGGTCAGACAAATTAATTAGCCAAATAATTTTCAATGATTTGGTATAAAACTAATCTGCAATTCTTGGTACTTTATACGGAAATCCAAAACTTAACTAATTGGATATATATGCATACATATTATGGATATTATTTATTAATTGCTTTTTCGACTTTGAAACAAATTTGATTTAATTTGCAGCCAATTCGTCAAAATAAAAGAGGTAAAGTGATATTTAATTATTTATTTATAGTCCAGTCATTATAGTAAGTTCACCTCGGAATTCGAGATACCCAGCTGTAATTCTATAAATACTTGTATATTGACACCCTAAAGTTGTCTCTAAACCTACATATGGTAGGGTGTACGTACCATATGTAGGTTTTGAGACATCTTTTATAATAATACAAGAATTTACAGACTTACAGCTGGGTATCTCGAATTCCGAGATTTTTACCTAATTTAAGCTTAAATGACTGGACTATTATCCATTATAACACTTGTTGTGCGCATCATTCAGTAGATTTAAACTACTTTTATTTGTTTTACACAATGAATACAATTATTAAAAAATATTCAAACTTTAATTTTAAAATTTATTAAGTAAAACATGCCAAATTTGAAAAATTCAAAACAATGATATCATCAGGATGTTACATCACATCAAACCAACCATTAGATATAATCATCAGGATGTTCTTTTTGTTATAAAGTAGTAGTTGTTTTTATATGTTTATTTTTTATTAAATTTCTATTTTTCAAAAATAGTACTGTTTCAAAGTTTGTGTTTGGTTTTTTTCTGATTTGGTACATGTATTTTTACTTAATAAATTTTGAAATTAAAGTTTTAAATTTTTGAAATAAGGGGACCATTAATCACGCGATCGTTTTTTTAAGAGAATTTTGGACCCTTTGGTGATAGGTGGTGATATTCAAAATTATTGAATATTTTCCCTCCCCTCTTCCTCACAAACATTACGTGTATTTTTAGTTATGAAAAAAAATTGTAATTATTTTGATTTTTGGACTTTTTTTTAAAAAAATCAGGTAAAAAATAAATGCACCTGATATCTTACTATACCCCTCCCTCCCCCACGTGATATTTTGTGATTTTTTGTCAAAACCACCCCCTTCCCCTAAAAATATCACGTGATTAATGGGAGTCCTTATATACTGTATTCCTTACATAAAAATAAAAAATGTGTAATTTAGATATACTGAATAATTACTCATATCAAGCGTCGAAACCTATAAATAAAAAATATGAAAATCAATTTACCATTTCCAATTCGACGAGTTGGTTGCAAACTATATCAAATTCCTCAATTCCAATCATATTCATATACAAAAATACCTAACAAATTTTCCGATTCATTTAAAACCGATTACAATCAATTCCATTAGGCACCAGTATTTATAAATAAAATTTTGCGCATATGTGTGAACATATATTCATTATTTTATTAGTACTGAGAAATAGATGTTGACTATTACGAGAGAGCAAGCGAAATGATCGATTATTTTGCCAACCATCATCAGAATGGTATGGATAAACAAACTTGTGCTAAAATAAACGATTTTTTTAGTGTGAATGTTTTAATGTTCTGATTATACAGATGGCATTGAACACATATGTGACTAGTGGATAAGGAAATAGTTATTTGGGTATAAATCACATCACATTGGTTAAAAAAATCATCCTATCAAAATAAAAGTATCATATATTTTTTCATCATGTACTTAGTAGGTTATCACCAATTGTAAAAACATATTTGAAAAATTATTTTCCTAGACAAATAATTAGACAGAGCCTTTTTTATGAAAAGATCTTCCCCTTACCATCACATATGTGTATATAAACTAATACTTATGAATGCCTTGGACTCACTTTTTGTAATTGTAATTAAGTCGCCCTCAAATAATTTGAGATTAGTTAGTCATGTATTTTTCTATTTACTTAGCAAATACGATTTATGTGCAAATATTTAGAAGAAAGAAGTTTACATATATGTAAAATGAGTCTGATGAAATTCATAGTCTGTAAAAGCCCTTTATAAAGTGCTAAAATTTGGTATGAAATATTACGAAAAAGTATTAATCTAAATAAATGATTTTATTGTATTTTATATTTATTCAGTTTAATATATAAATTTATGTCAATTAGTGAAAATTACTTTAACTTAATTATTTTAAAGAAAATATAATATATTGATATGTATAGTATTTAATATTTGTATTATATAGTTATTATATTATTTGGATTATTAATGTTTCAGTTAATTGTTTTAATATTACATATTAGTAAAATTCGTTTTTTTATATAATTTTAACTATATACTGAGACATGTATAAATATTTTAATGTTTAAGTAGTTATATCAATCCTTTATACCGTGTGCTATGTACTTTTATTATAATTATAAGTAAAAATAAAATTATAAAATTGTTTTATTTAAAAAATAGTTTAATAAAAAATAAGAATAATTTTATAAAAAAATCACTACAACAAAAATTTATTTATCATCAGTCAATTAAAATATATTTTTCATCAGTGAATAAATTATATAATTAAAATTCTCTCCAATAAGAACAATTATGTAAATAATAACAACAAAAGGAATGTGCAATTATTTAAATAATAACAAAAACAGTTAATTATCTTGGTGAATTTGTAGTTGTTAGTTTATATCATCAATGAAACATAAACTGACACATTAGTATAACAACTGGTGTACAATTTGCTAGAACAATTCTATGCCGGTTAAAATAAAACATATAAACTAGCAATATACCAAAGATTTTTTTTGAAACGTTTGGTAAGTAGCAAATGATTGTCCGTAATTCTTAAAAAAATCCGATTTGCTAATATTATGTTTCCTCGACGTTTCAAGTCATTCTGAACCATATAAGATCAAATTTAGGAAAAGTATGTGTGTACAGGAGCCAAGATATTGCATTTATTATTTAATTATATATTTAAAAGTCATTAGATTTAAAGTAACACGATATCGACTATGATGATTTGTTTCTTGCGACGATCGGTTGAGCAGTTTCTTCAGAATTAGCAGAAAAGTGCAAAAAAATTGTTCCAGATCAAATTTAAGAAAAGTATGTGTGTGTGTAAAAGAGACCAGATATCACACTTGGTCGACGTTTTTTTCAAAAACGGCTGTACAGATTTTAAAAAGTTAAAAGCCATTTATTGGAACTCGATATGGACTCGCGTTGGTTAGTTTCTCGCGCCGATCAGTTGAGCGCTTTTTTCAGGATTAGCAGAAAAGTACAAGTTGAGACCAAAGAAGAAAGAATGTATTTGGATATAGGAGCCAATATATCACACTTTGACAACTTTTTTTTAAACGGCTGCACCGGTTTCCAAAATTTAGAAGCCACTAGATGTAAATCGGCATGGACTCGTGTTGATTAGTTTCTCAGTTAAGCAGTTTCTTTAGAATTAGCAGAAAAATGTAAGTTGAGATCAAATTTGGGGAATATGTGGGTTTGTGTATAGGAGCTAAGATATCACACTTCGTCGACGTTTTTTTCGAAAATCGCTGTACAGATTTTAAAAACTTAAAAGCTATACGTTGTAACTCGATATGGGCTCGTGTTGATTACTTTGACGCGGGGATCAGTCGAACAGTTTCTTCAGATTTTGCAGAAAAGTGTGAGTTGCGATCAAATTTGAGGAAAATATGAATTTGTGTATAGGAGCCAATATATTACACTTCGTCGACGTTTTTTTCAAAAACTGCTGTACAGATTTTAAAAAATTAAAAGCCATTCGATGTAACTCGATATGGACTCGTGTTGATTACTTTGTCGCGAGGATCAGTTGAACAGTTTCTTCAGAATTTGCAGAAGAGTGTGAGTTGCGATCAAATTTGGGGAAAGTATGCATTTGTGTATAGGGGCCATTATATTACACTTGGTCGACGTTTATTCAAAAACGATTGCACCGATTTTCAAAATTTAAAAGCCATTAGAATTAACTCGGTATGGACTCATGTTGTTTATTTTTTGCGACGATCGGTTGAGCAGTTTTTTCAGAATTAGCAGAAAAGTTCAAACATTTTTGTTAGCGTTTTAACCAAAATTCCTGAATTTTTGATATTTTATATATTTTAAAAATATTTTAAAAATTTAAAAACTGTTTGAAAGATATCAGTTGGATTGAAAAAGATTGTCCAAACCATTCGTAAAATATTGTGGAAACAAGTTATACGATTTTGATGAAACTTTTATTGATGATAGAATTCAAGACCTAAACAAACGCTCTAAAAAATTTTGTATACAAAAAGTGGTTTAATTATAAAAATTAATTACGTTTCAAAAAGTACTTAATTTGTATTGCCGCTGTTTTAAAAACTGCTTAATTTGAAAACTAATTGATTATTTACACATATCGTTAAATTTATGCAACTCACCTTAAGGCAAAATACACTTACAACTAGTTTGAAATGGATTATTATTTGTGTAAAGATTTAATAGTTGAATTAAAATACGAGTAGGTATATGGGTGTTTTATCAAGAATTGTGATTGTAATAAATATTCTGTGTAACTTTAATAAGAGTATTAATTTTAAATAAAATAATGTCAAGAATTTTTATTTTTTTTTAATT